GCCGCCTGGCGCTCCACCTGGACCGCAGAGGAGGGGGTGGGGGTGCCGCGAGGCCAGGCCCCCGACTTACAGAGCGGCTTCCTCTGCTTCTTCTGTAAACACGACTTGACGTATCGCTCCAGCTCCCGCAGCGTGGTGGGCTTCAGGGTCTCGAAGTCGATCTCGATCTCGTCGGGGTTGGAGTCCCGGAGCGAGGGCTCCCGCGACTGGATGATGTGCACCACGCGGCCCAGCTTCTCCCCCGGCAGCCGGTTGATGTCCAGGCTCAGCTGGCGCTTCTCGTCGTAGCTCATGGGCAGGCCCTCCTCCTCCTCCTCCGAGTCGTAGGAGGCCGACGCCTGCTTGCCGCCCTTCTTGGGCTGTCTGAGGCAGGAGGCAAAGAGCGGCGTGGCGTGGAGCCCCTGTCCCCTCGGCCCTCCCCTCCCCCTTCCGTCCGGCTCCGTCCCCTCCTGGCTCTTACAGATGCCCATGCCCACGGTGGGGCCCAAGCAGAGGAGCCAGGCTGGCTGCCTGAGGCTGCCCCTGGCTGGCTGGGTCCCAGGCCTCACTCAGAGCCCCACAGGCATCTCCCACTCAGCAGGTCAAACACTGACCTCTGCCTACGTCCAAATCCGCCATGAGAAGGCAGCTGAGGGGATGAGGAGTAAGAACAGGGGACAGACAGGGCATGATGCACGGTGAACCGAGACCCTAGGGCACCAACCGTGACATTAAATATGAACAGTCTAAACACACCAACGAAAAGAAAAAGGACGAGCAGGTTGTATAAGAAACGAGACCTGCCCTGGCTGGTGTGGCTCAGTGGATAGAGCGTCAGCCTGCGGACTGAAGGGTCCCAGGTTTGATTCCGGTCAAGGATACATGCTGGGGTTGGGGGCTCGATCCCCAGTAGGGGGCATGCAGGGGGCAGCCTATCCATGATTCTCTCTCATCATAGATGTTTCTCTCTCTCTCTCCCCGTCCCTTTCTCTCTGAAATCAATAAGAATATATTTAAAAAAAAAAAAAAGACCCAACGTACATTTTAAATATAAAGACAGAAGTAGGTTAAAAGTAAAAAGGAGGAGGGGGAAATCGACCATGCGAACACTGATCAAAGAAAAGCTACAGTAGCGGAGTTAATTTCAGACAAAGGAGACTTCACAAAAAGGAACGTCACTGGAGAAAGAGGGACGCTGCATGACGACAACAGGGCCACCCGACCACGGGCCATCGCGGTCCTGCAGGCGCGTGCGCCTGACCGCCAAGCTTCCAAATACGCGAAGCAGAATCCAAGAGAAATGCAGGAAAGCCACAGCGGGAGCTGGGGGATCCAGCTCCTTCCTCTTGGCAATTAACAAGTAAGTCAGCAGGAGCAGAGACCAGCCCGTCGATGACCACCTGGGTCCGCCTGACCAGGTTTCTGCCTGTTGGCTGTTCTGTTTGTTTTCCCTGACTGACAGCCACTCGGCAGCGGAGAATACACTTTCCCCTCCAGTGCACACGGACCTTCACCAACGCTGGGCCAGACAACAAGTCTTAACAACTTTAAGTGTTCATCACTGACCGTAACGGAATTAAACCAGAAAAATCCCCAAACATTTGGGAAATAAACACACTTCCTAAATTTGCGGGGTAGCATTTAGATGGAAATGTACAGCATTAAATACTCTATGAGAAAAGGTCTCGCCCTGGCTGGTTGGCTCAGTGGATAGAGCGTCAGCCTGCGGACTGAAGGGTCCCAGGTTGGATTCCAGTCAAAGGCACATGCCCAGGTTGCAGGCTTGATCCTCAGTGGGGGGAGTGCAGGAGGCAGCCGATCAATGATTCTCTCTCATCATGGATGTTTCTATCTCTATCTCTCCCTCTCCCTTCCTTTTGAAAGCAATAAAAAAAATACCCACACAAAAATAGACATATATATACATACTAGTGGCCCCGTGCACGAAATTCGTGCACAGCTAGGGTCCCTAGGCCGGGCTGGCAATCAGGGCCAACCTGTGGGGTGACCGGCAGGGCGATCGGGGGCCCCCTGCTGGCACCTGCCTTGGCTGGCCTAGGGCCTGCACGCTGGAGGCAGCTCCTGCATTGAAGGTTTGCCCCCTGGTGGTCAGTGCACATCATAGCGACCGGTTGTTCCACCGTTCGGTCCATTTGCATATTAGGCTTTTATTATATAGGATATATATAAACGGTCTCGTGGTGCTGGTGCGGGGGGGGGATAAAAGGTGGAAGAGGGCATAGAGGGGACACAAGACAAGGACACCAATGCCCCACCCTGCGCTCCGTGTAACGGCCGAGGCTCTGAGCCACCAGGGCTCGCAGCCACGGGGCCACGCTGAGCCCCACACCCAATGCTCCTCCCGCCACACACAGCCCCCAAGGC